GGCGGCACCGGAGCGGGGCGGAGCTCCTTGGCCAAGCCAAGCCCCGCCGCCGCTCGACGCACGCAGCGCGGCGCAAGAGCCGGGCGGGCCGCCGTGCCAAGCGCGCCGGCAGCCCGGCGCACGGAGGGGAGGGAGGAGGCGGGAAGGCCGATGGGGGGAGAGGAGGGTTGCCAACTCCGGGGTGAAGAATCCTGGAGATCGGGGGGAAGAAATGGGACCTGGAAGGGGGTGCTTGCCAACCTCCCGGGGAGGCACGGCTCTCCGGGCAGCAGAGATCCCTTCCCCCTGGAGTTTCCAAAGATGACCTCCTTTTTTTTAGAGGGCGCGTCCTCTCTATTTTTGGCGCCCGTTGCTACGGTTTAGCCTGAGTCGATCGATTAAAATTGGGGATCCAGGTGGCCAGCCGTGTGGGTGTAAAGCAGCAGAACAGATTTTAGAGTCCGGGGGCACCTTGAAGACCAAGGAAGGTTTATGCAAGGTGCGAGCTTTCGTGTGCAAGGCACGCTTTCCCAAATACACTGTGTAAGGGTCAGACGTCTGGCCGGAGAATGGACAGCGAACTAACCTGCAGCGTGATGATGGTCAAGATACATTGCGTGTTAATCTGCTGTTCATTTTGCTGGCTATAAGTTTGAACCACTTTTTGCCCTGCTGGTGTACTTGAAAAAGTGTGCTTTGCACACGAAAGCTCAGACCTTGGTCGTAAAGGTGCCATTGGACTCTAAAACTAACCTTTCGGGGGAGGGCTCAGTTTGATTTCCTGTGATGGATTGACAATCACAGCTTGGTCCTCTGTTGGTAAATTTGAGTAAGAGTTTATCAAATCATCCTCTACGGTATTGTGATGGAATATTGGGTTAATCAAGAAGAAAAATGTTAATCGGTTAGGAGAAAGCGGTAGGATGTTGAGTAGGCTGTTCTAGTGGTTTTTAAAGTTTGGTGTAGTGGTTAAGTGTGCAGACTCTAATCTGGGAGAATGGGTTTGATTCCCCCACTCCTCCACTTGCACCTGCTGATGTGACCTTGGGTCAGTCGCAAGCTCTGGCACAGCTGTCCTTGAAAAAGAGCAGTTTCTGTCAGAGCTCTCTCAGCCCCACCTACCTCACAGGGTGTCTGTTGTGGGGAGGGGAAGGGAAAGGAGTTTGTAAGCCGCTCTGAGACACCTCTGGGTAGTGAAGGGCGGGGTATAAATCCAATCTCTTCTTCTTCTTCTATGATGTTATATAATTTTCCCAAAAAATTGAAGTATTTGAATCAAGGATTGTCGCTTATAGTTACAAATAATGCCCCTTAGACTATGTTTTGGTGATTTTACCTTTTGTCCTTTCCCCTTAACCCTTTTCTTTATTCTGTGTTCCCTCAAAACATTCAAAATATATATTTTTTTAAATTAAAATTTTAAAAAAGGAGACACCCAGTGTAATAGAAAAGTTTTGTTTATGGTAGAATATTAGGAAGATTAACCATTAGGATACGTATGCATTTGGCAAAATGATAATACCCATTTACTTACCATGTGGATTTTTATAAAAAGATATATTTGTTGTCTGTTTATATACTTAGTTTGTAACTATTTGACTTGCTGTGTTCTGTGTTATTTTGCAATAAAACTCTGAAGAAGAAGAAAAATTAAAATTGTTGTTTGAAAGCAAGAGAGGTTACGCAAATGTTCCTAGTTAGCAACAATGATGGCAGCTGAAAAGGTAGGAATTAGTCATAGTCAAGGCTATTTTTGGGCAGGAACGCACAGGAACGGAGTTTCAGCTGGCTTCCGAGTTGGCCACACCCAGCAGGAACTCATTGGCATAATAGGCCACACCCAACAGCAGGAACTCATTAGGATTGGCTACATTAGGAGTGTGTGGCCTAACATGCAAAGGAGTTCCTGCTACAAAAAAGCCCTGGGTTTTGACAACAAACAAGGTAAAATAAGAAGCAAAAGGTGGGTGTGGCTGGATGACCACACTTCTGGTAACATGGGGTGTGTGGCCTAATATGCTAATGAATTTCTGCTGTTGGGTGTGGTCTATTATGCTAATGAGTTCCTGCTGGGCTTTTTCTACAAAAAAAGCCCTGGTCATAGTGATCACTCAGTTTGGACATAGATTTGTTGCAGTGATCGGTTGTTTGAAGTAGTCATTCGGGAGATATGTCCTATTTTTTTGCTTTCAAAAGATGGTGACCCTAAGTTGGCATGGTCAAAGCGATAGTATTCCCAGTAGTCATGTATGGCTGCGAGAGTTGGACCATAAGGAAGGCCGAGCGCCGAAGAACAGATGCTTTCGAATTATGGTGCTGGAGAAGACTCTTGAGAGTCCCTTGGACTGCCAGGAGATCAAATCAATCAATCCTAAAGGAAACCAACCCTGACTGTTCCCTGGAAGGCCAGAGACTGAAGCTGAAGCTCAAATACTGTGGCCACCAAACGAGAAGGGAGCCCTCACTGGAGACGACCCTGATGCTGGGAAAGATTGAAGGTCGAAGAAGACAGGGACGGCAAAGGATGAGATGGTTAGACAGTGTTATTGAGGCAACAAACATGAAATTAAGCCAACTCAGGAGGACAGGAGGGCCTGGCGTGATGCGGTCCATGGGGTCGCGAAGGGTCGAACACGACTGTGCGACTGAACAACAACAAAAACCTGGAGAACATGGCTGCTCTGGAAGGTGGATTCGATGGCGGTCCATCTCCACTGAGCTCCTTCCCTCCGCTGCTGAATGCGACCATTTTCTCCAGGGAGGTGGCATTCTGTCGGCGGGAGATCGGTCGTCATTCCAGGGGGTCTCCAGGTCCCAGCTGGTCAATGGCAACCCTGCCCGCTGCCTCCATTGTTCCGACTGGGTGGAGGAGAATCCTGAATGGCCAGTGTTCTGGAATGGCCGACATTTAGCTGGGCTTGCCAACCTCCAGGTGGTGTCAAGGACGAGAGATCATCGGACAGGCGGAACTTTAGTAAGGAAAAACAACCATAATATGGTAAAACCTTGTTGAGGAGACGTGCACTTTGCCTCTTTGCCTGTTGCTCTGTTCACAGCCTCTGTCTGTGACGCTTTAAGGGTGTAGGCGATACTGGAGGGCTGGGAATGGCCAGCTGACTTTCACCTGCTGAATCAGGGCTGGAGGGTGTCAGTGGCTCTGCACTAGCTGTTGGCTGTGAATCCTGACAAACCTGTTGTTCATTTCCTTGCCGGGCAGCTTCTTTTAACTCAAGGCTGGCTGCACCAGGCTCCTCTACTCATGATGAGTCCTCACTACCTCTGAGGCCTGGCTGACCCAAGACAGTAATAATAGTGAGCATTTATGTGGCACGTTTTCAGTACTGAAAACATCGTGTGGACCTATGTCTCCAATCCTTTCAACAGCCTTGCGAGGTGGGCAAGTGTTATGTTCCCCATAGTGGTGTGGTGGGGAGGAGCTGAGACGCAGCGACTTGCCAAAGGCTGGTAGAGTGGGGAGAAAAGTCATCGAGTTGCAGCTGATTAAGGTCGACCTGGTTGGGTTTTCATGGCAAGAGACATTCAGAGGTGGTCTGTCATTGCCTGTGTCTTCTGCATAGCAACCCTGGACTTTTGTAGTGGTCTCCCGTCCAGTTACTAACCAGGGCTGAACCTGCTTAGCTTCTGAAATCTGATGAGATCAGGGTCAAGGAAAGAGATATTCAGAGGTGGTTTGCCATGGCCTGCCTCTGCGTAGCAACCCTGGGCTTCCTCGGTGGTCTCCCATCCAAATACTAACCAGGGCTGAACCTGCTTAGCTTCTGAAATCTGATGAGATCAGGCTAGCCTGGGCCATCCAGGTCAAGGAAAGAGATATTCAGAGGTGGTTTGCCATGGCCTGCCTCTGCGTAGCAACCTTGGGCTTCCTTGGTGGTCTCCCATCCAAGTACTAACCAGGGCTGAACCTGCTTAGCTTCTGAAATCTGATGAGATCAGGCTAGCCTGGGCCATCCAGGTCAAGGAAAGAGATATTCAGAGGTGGTTTGCCATGGCCTGCCTCTGCGTAGCAACCCTGGGCTCCCTCGGTGGTCTCCCCTCCAGTTACTAACCCAGCGCTGACCCTGCTTAGCTTCTGAAATCTGACGAGATCAGGCTAGCCTGGGCCATTCAGGTCAGGGCAGAGTTGAGCTTGTCATTGCCTGCCTCTGCGTGGCAACCCTGGACTTTCATGGTGGTCTTCCATCCAAGTACTAACCAAGGCTGATCCTGCTTAGCTTCCATATCTGACAAGACTGGACTAGCTAGGGCCATACAGGTCAGGGCAGAGTTGACCTTGTCATTGCCTGCCTCTGCATAGCAACCCTGGTCTTCCTTGGTGGTCTCCCATCCAGTTACTTACCAGGGCCGACCCTGCTTAGCTTACGAGATCTGACGGGATCAGGCTAGCTTGAGCCATCCAGTTCAGAGCAGAGGTGGGTTTGCCATGGCCCGCCTCTGCGTAGCAACCCTGGACTTCCATGGTGGTCTCCCATCCAAGTTCTAACCGGGGCCGACCCTGCTTAGCTTTCAAATCTGACAAGACAGGACTAGCCTGGGCCATTCTGTTTAGGCCAGGGATGGTTTGCCATTGCCTGCCTCTGCGTAGCAACCCTGGAATCCTTGTTGGTCCCCCATCCAATTACTAACCGGGGCCGACCCTGCTTAGCTTCCCAGATCTTATGAGATCAGGGTGGTTGGGAGCCTCCAGGGCAAGGCAAAAGGCTGCCTTGTGAATTCTTTGCCAGTGTGCCTTTCCCACATTATCTGTGGCAGTACGAAACTCAGCTGTGACTTGGCTCCCGGTTCGAATCCCGCTGCCTTTTGCCAGCGTCTTCCGAAGTCCAATTTCCCCCGGGAGCCCCAGGGAACGGCGCTCGGTCGACGACTATAATTAGTAAACCGTCACGCCTGAGCATTTAAAAATATAAC